AAATTAGTTAAATAAAGCTTTATGGTGAAATGTAGGCCTCTTTGGAACTTGTCACTGACAAACAAGACCAAGTCTTGAACCTCAGTTTAGTTACCATTTTGGCTCACTGTGAACACTCCATTGACATATCTTGTCCACATTCAACACTTCTTCATTCTCTCCCTGTTTGTTTTTTAAAGTTACGCAACGATGATGATCTTTCTAAAATAGTTTGATTATATGTTTAACACTGGTGTCACTCCTTTACACTAATTTGTCCAATGTAATTTCAATTTCAGACAAACTAAAATGAAATTAATTATGTGGCAAACTGAGAAATTGGGGTGCTAGGCTTCCCTTCCCAGTTTAAACAACTGAAAACTTACCATAATCTTTTTTAACACTTATAATTAAATTTGAGTATAAGAACAGTGCAAGAAAAGTCTGAATTCCTTACTCTTAAAGTTACAGCATCTTGGAATTTGTTGGCTGGAGTTAAAGAAATATGTCCAGAAGAGTAAATAGCAAGCTTATCTGGAAAGCTTCTTATGGCAATATTGACCGGAAATTCTTCTTCATAACCAAAAGCCTGAACTACGACTTTCTCAGATGCCCCAACTCGCAAAACCTTTGGTGCTGCAAGGACATACCTGTATGGAACATAAAACAATGAAAGGGAAATGGAACTACGTTTCTTTTGGATTTCTGACTTCTGTTTGTAACTCACTTATGTACACACCGTTAAAGCAAGTAAGACATTCAGGCCAAGTTATTCTAAGACACTATTTCAAAACAGCAGAGCCCCAGTCAGAATATTTTTTACAAAAACTGTAATGTAACACTACCGAATAACAGCTTAGGTAATGTTTATGGGTTTGATTTTGCAGACACACAAAAGCATGTCTACTAAAACACGCTATTTACATGGAAATAATTATTCCTTTTGCCAGATTAAACCCTGAAACACTAATCTTCCAAAGAGCACACCTCTGTAGTCTTCCCACCGGTAAAGTTCTTACTGGGGCAACTTACAGTAAAGGCCAATGTGAATAGGTTTTTTTGCAGGATTACTCTAATTTCTTCAGTGCTTTATAAACATCATTCCACAAAAGCACAAGCCGGGCCTTAGTACCTGACCACATAATGCATCTAAAATACATATGAAGGGCCATTGAACAAAACATTTGATATATGTGCACCTTCTTTCTCTGAAATGCCAAAAGCATTTAGGTTGGCTGCTTTCTATACACCATTGTTAAGATTTAAGAATCAAAAAAGCACTGCTAAGTACAATTGCAAATTACACATTAAAGAGATTTCATCAAACCAGTAGCAGTGTCTGACTCCAGGCACTTCAGAAAAGCTAATGAGCACTAGCTTTATCTCTTAACTTTTTTGCGTGTTTATCTTGTGGCACAGAAGGAGATGACTCTACCTCTTTCTTTGGCAGCAAACACAGTAATTCCAGAACCATTGGTCCTTCTTCCAGCATTACTCCCACACACACTACTGAGAATTTTGCTTGTGAAAACACATGAATTTGGATAGTGCCTTTTGTATTGGCTCTACTTAAATCTTACTATCTATTTACCTAAAATAGCAGATAACAATCGAGTAACATTTCCAGTAAACGCTATACATGCTTTACTTACGTTTTCTCTTGGCTAAAAGTTGTTCCAGAATATAGCAAAACAAAAAAACATATTAAAATAATCATAGTGTCTAAGGCAACAAACAGCAAAGCACAGACGCTAATGATTCTGGACTAAACTGTGTTTGGCTTCTGCTGTAGATGAACAGTAATACCACCAACACATTTCACTCATAGTTAATAATTAATTGCAGATCATGTTTTACTAAAATGTTACTGCCCCCTCCCAAGGAAGCCAGAACAGCTAAACTCCGGAATCTTTTCATATAGGATTTCAATTTTTGAGTATGTCCAGAGCAATACTACATCAGTCCTAACTTTCTCTCTGTTTGATAGCTACATTTAAAAAAACATGGTTTTCAGATGTAGCAAAAATTACCCCAACAAACAAAATACTAGAGTGTTTGTCCTTCAGAAAATAATTGTTTAAATCAAACTGATTTAAAATTTGCATCTGAAGAAAAAAAAGGGATTTGAATTATATCAAACCTAATGCGTTGACATGTTTAGACCAGAAGTTTCCATTCTTTTGTTTTGAAATAACTCTTCACTTGCAAATTTCTTTCAGTCATTTGTATTCCTTATTATGCCAACTTCGAGTACTTCCATTAGAAACTGAAACTGCAATATGAAAATATTAGGGCACAATACATCTACACGTGCTATTTTAAACAGCATTTGCAAAAAAAACCATTGGTGACAAAACCTTTGCAAGCCTGATATCTAAACATCAGGCCTCAACAAACAAGCTTAGGAAAAGTTCAACTAAAGTTGTGCAAGACTTCTGAAGTTTAAACAAATACTGTAGCCAGCCTTTACGGGAAAGATATTCACAAAACAATTTCTGATCAATAGAAAATTAAACCATGAGAAGGCCAACTTGGGCTTCTCAACAGATGTAATAAACTACAAGGAAAGCAACAATATATAAACTAAAATCTTACAAAATGTAAGGTGCTCAATATTGTTAAAAATAATGACCCAAATACCTATTACTAAATAGCAAACCATGAGACTCCATACAGCAAGTTTACATGGGTGGTATGTAAACAATAAGGAACAAATAGTAAAGAACACTGGAAAACACTTTAAAAGTCTAACAATATTCAGATATAAAGTGTTTTTTTAACTCAGAAATCAAGTTTTAAAAACTAATTATGTCCCTTTCTTACATCTTTTTCAGACATGGCCTACTGGTTTTTCAGCCCTACATTTCACACCTCGTTGTATGGATTCCAAGCCAACACTGCCCAAAACTGTTACAGGAAATTTAATAAAACAGCTCTGTGAAAACTGTGCTTTATTATTATCAGCCCTTGAATATATTCCCAGTGCCACAGAGAATGTCCCAGGGTAAAACCCACCAAAATACCATCTTACACTGACGCTAATATGCAATACATAGACAGAAATAAAGCATGGACCAAAAAAACCCCAACTATCACCAGAGCCGGCTTTCTTATGCTGCGACTTGTGCTTTAACTAGAACAAAACCTCTCAGAACGCACCCTCCGGCAGCTGAAGGCCGAGCACAACACCAGCAGCAACGGCCTCCTCCCCGAGCTCAGGTAAACCCGCCATTGGCCGACGGAACCGGAGCCAAGGCAGCACGCGCGCCGTGGGCGCCACCAGCGGCGGGGATCAGCGG